CAATGTCAACATCGGTGTCCACAGCTGCGGGCTTCTCCCCGCAGTATGGTGGTCCGGATACTGTCTCTGCATACTTCTCTGGGGCAGGTGAAGCAACCGATGACTCATCTGTCAACAGGCAGCCCCCATCAGGCCAGAAAGTGAAGTGTGCGCACCCGTCAACGGAGAAGCAACGCTGTTGGCAGGCCTCCTGCGTCATCTCGCTGGTCCTTTCCGTTCCAGCCATCTTGATCGGGCTGCTGTAGTAGGTGGAAGCCTCGAAGCAGTCTGCCGCGGCATCCAAGAGCACGAAAGCACCCGACTTGCTGCGGAGGCCACGGGTTCCGCCGCGTGCCAGGACGCCAACCGTCACAAGCCCCACACAGCCCAGCGCCAAGGCCACGCGCCGCGGGAACGCGAAGCTGCGGCGCTCCGGGCGCTGGTCCTCCAGCAGGAGCTCCACGTCCGAACCGGCGCTGGCCATCGCTGCGGGCTGCAACGGGGGGAAAGAAAGGATCCCTTGAACAGTTCCTCAAAAGCCTGCACAGGGTCATTACGTGAGTGTCTTGCTTGCGATATGTATGGGCTCCAGCGTTCGAGGCCCTCGCGCCGCTCTCTCTCTCTCTCTCTCTCTCTCTCTTTCTCTCTCTGCCTTTGCTCGGGGTTGGGGGAGGTGGGGCTCTCTTTCTCTCTCTCTCTCTCTCTCTCTCTCTCTTGCTTGCTTGTTTGCTTCACGGATGGGGTTAGGGCTGCAAGCCCCCGTCGCCTTCGCAGGCGCACTACGCCTGTGCCTCTCTCTCTCCCTCTCTCTCTGGCTCGCTTGCTTGCTTGTTTGCTGCGGGTCAAGGTCCAGCATGCTAGACCCGAGCCCAAGTCGCCCCCCACCCTCTTTGGCTCAGAAAGCAGAAGCTTTGGGGTCCCACGGATTGATCTTCAATCCGGAGGTCGGTACCAAAGGCGGTTGCCGGTTGCTGCGATCCCCCGACCCTGAACTTTATCGCGCATCCAGGCCTCATCACCGCGCCCCCGAAGGCAAACTCCTTTGTCCCTGCAGCAACCGGTTTCCCCCCGACTCGTACCAAGTGGCGGCTTCAATCAGCCTAACAGGAGCTTACCAGCAACAAGACTACGGCACAGACACTGAGACGCTAGGGCATCACCCCCTGGCTGAGCAAAAGTCCCCCTCTGGCTCTGGAAAGGGGGTCTTTCCTCTCTCTCACTCACTCACTCACTCACTCACTCACTCACTCTCTCTCTCTCTCTCTCTGTCTCTCTCTCTCTCTCTCTCTCTCTCTCTCTCTCTCTCTCTCTCTCTCTCTCTCTCTCTCTCTCTCTGTCTCTCTCTCTCTCTCTCTCTCTAGTGCTCTCTCACTCTTTCGTCAACTGTCTTGTGGTGTGCATTTGCCTTATTCAACAGTCCATGTAGTCTCGAAAACGACGTTCTACGATCCAAGCCTCTCCATTCGAGAAGGGGACAACTTCATCATCTGTTCCGTGCATGATTGCAACCTCGGTCTGTTCGTGTCTCCACTTAGGTCTTCCGCCACAGCATTCGTTGCGCAACCAATTCAGAAGCGAAGTGGCCGGAGCTTTGATGTTTCCGATCTTCTCGTAGTTGCGGAAGATATCCAGGTAGTAGCCTGGGACTGAAACCCATCTTATAGGCAAGCGTAGCAACATTGCTTCATGGGCTCACTGCCCAAAGTCGCTGCCGTGCCGCCCAGAACCTCTGAAAAGAATCTGGCCTACGTAACGCGACAGGACTTAGCCTTGTCAACTCCGAGCCCACGACGACGTAAGCACCACCTAGCTTCCATTGCATCACGTCGTGCTTAAACACACACAGAAACTGCGATGCCCAGCAGTAGCTGCAGAGGGCCCGTGCTTTCCAGCGGAGATTGAAGGATCACCCCAGCTGCATCCAATGGCGAGAACTCTGTTCCCTGGGGCTCGAAAATGACACCACGAGCCTACATCTGCAAGATAATCAAAGCCATGGCGTCAGCTTTGCACCTCAACTTCACTTCTGGAGGCAAGGTCCACGCTCGGACCAGAACCTGAGGAGAACTAGGAGAGCTGCAGAAAAGTTCTTACGATGCACTACACATTACACACTGACAGCAGCGCACCGATGGAGCGACCGAAGATCACCTCAGAGGACATGAACGGCTTGTAGCCTAGGACATAGAACTGGCTACAACAACCAGCTGCAAATGTAGCCGAAACGTGATCAACATGTGTCCAGCCTGATCTGTAGCACGGATACCCCAACACGGCATCGATGCTATTGTGCAACGACTTTCCTGGATGATTTTTGACCTCTTCGAAGACTTCCAAGGCTACTGGAATATCTCCGAAACACTAAGAAGCTGCAGGACTAGTCAAACCCGCAGCAATGAGGCAGCACACTGCTTGGATTAGCAAGGCTGTGGAGCACTTACGCCCCGGGACGAAATACGGTCGACAGAGAATGCAGCTGTGTGCCTTTCATTATTGAAGGACATGATCTTCACCCACGAGACATTACACATCTGAGGAATTCGGTGGGCCATCATCAGTTGATGTACAACTTTTTGGGGTATGTGACAATTGAAGTTCGACAGTAACACACCCCACATCCAAGTCCGTGGCAATCCGTCTTGGATGGATCTTCTGCTCGTCTACAAGGTATCGCCAAGCCTCTGTGCTCCAGAATGGATGTTGCAAAGTTCTTGAACGATTCGGATGCAGCACTGCTGAGATAGCTGCTGCATCAATGCTTCGAATGCATCCGGCCTACAAGACAAGGCCGGGAAAGGTGCCTCGCAAATCCCATCTGAGCTGCCTCGGAGGGGGTGTCGCCGTCCAGCCGTGAAAGTGAGTAGCCCACGTACTCATAGCTGAACACATCTGCGCCTCAGCAGATCTCGGCAGCCCTGGTTATCGCGACAATCTGTCAGTCTTACCAGTGCGCCTGTATATTCTGCAAGAGCATCAATGTAATCCAGGTGCAATCCAACATCCTGTCACGATGCGAGAATACAACCGCAGCGATGCCAGTTTAGGGGTCAGCTGCCTCAGCATTTCCATGGCTGTACAGTATTGTCACCGGAGGTGTAGAGAGAAAGGAATGCTTTCCTGAATCCAGCAGTGATAGTTAATAGTTACCGGGCAAAGCTTAGGTGAACCTGGGAGCCTGGCGCTGCGCACGGACGTGACAGGCTGGGATAGACTCATCCTGGTCCGTTTTCAGGAACACCAGATCTCGCCTGTCTGCACATGGAGGCTAGAGATAAGCAAGAAAGATCACGGCTCTACTGCCGCCACCCGTTCTCAAAACGGTCGACCTTCGCAGGAGCTCATCCTGTCCGCGATATGTGCGAGAGGACTAGAAACGTAGAAGCAGTGGCGGAAAGCCATGCAACATGAAGCACGGTGCAACCGCCATGTCAGCCGGATGATGCCACATTGCACAATGCTGTCTAGCTAAGACGTGAAGGATGCCCAACGCTTGTGTGTCATTTCTTCCTTACTGGGCCTCCTCAACCCTAAAATTCCGGAATCAAGAAAAGCGGGGCCGCACTTCTTGACTGAACGTTTGCATGCCGTCTCGATTAAGCAACGAAACACGCCGGAAAGAGGCCTGATAGAATGCTTTGCCCAAGTGCGGCGCGGGAAAGGCCACTGCATTGATGGCACCTGAAAAGCAAAACAAAATACCTCCGGCTCACGCGTACTCTGCCTTCGTGCCATGTCCAGCCCAATGACTGAGGTCAGAACTTCCCATTGCCACTGCTTGGCGATTCGTGAGACAGCACTGCTCAGTGCTTCGAGCAAGGAGGCTTAAAATCCCATCTTTGCATTGTGTTGTTCCAAGTTGGTCTGCTGATCCGCTGCTGTTCTTGTGTCTAGTCTGCTTCCTTTACATATCTTGTCATTCGTTATATTGCTGTAATCTTTTTGCAGTGGCCATTGATTGAGTGAGACCTTTTCTGCTGTTGCTGCGATACCATGGCGATGAAAATGATGACAATGGCAAATCGTGATGATGCTGACGATGAAGATGATGATGATGATGATGAGGAGGAGGAGGAGGAGGAGGAGAATGATGATAGGTTGCGAGGGGAGGGAGGGCGGCGGAGAGGGTTGGGGGAAGGAAGGGTCTAGGGCTGGTCTGGGCAGGCAGGCAGGAGGTAAGGGGGCAGGTAGATGTTGGTTGGCTAAGGTTAGGTTGGGTCAGGTTCAGTTTGATTAGGATAGGTGGGTGGGCAGGTCAGTAGTTAGGTAGGTAGGTAGGCAGGTAGGTAGACAAGTAAGCAGGGAGGTAGGCAGGTCGGGCTGGTAAGGATGATGATGGTGTGATGATGAATACTAGTAAGGCACGTGCCTCCTGAAGGGTTTCGGGAGGTAAAGGCCTTTGTGTTCCAAGCCTTTCACGTGGTTTTACAGGGTTCTATACTGCTATATGGGGCCTGGACAGGGTTCTACAAGGTGTCAGAGTTGAGGTTCAGAGCTGAGGGATTTAGGCTCCAGGGGTTTGGGGTCTGGTTTGGTTTATGTTTGCGGGGTTTACTAGTACAACTTGACACCACTAGTGACCGCGATCGTGGTTCTATTGATGCCGTGGCGATGACGATGAGGATAACGAGGAAACCATGATGTTGATTGTGCAGCTGATGATGATGATGAGGACGATGATGACGATGATGATGGGGATGATGGGGATGATGAGGATGATGATCAGGATGATTACGAGGATAGCGATTTGGATGCTGATAATGATGCGGATGAAGATGATGATGATGATGATGATGTCGTTGATGATGGTGATTGGTGATGATGATGACGACGATGATGATGCGACTCCTTGTCTGCTCTCACTCCTCATTTTGCCACGGCTTGCTGTTGTGGTTGCCAGTGCTGCTTGCCCCGATGTTTCTATGCATGAGGCTGGTCTGACTTGATCCAACAACATTCCTGAAATTAAGGCCGGCTGCGAGAAAGCGAGAAAACTATCTGAGCTCGTCTCACCTTGTTCCCAGAACCGCACAGGAGAGTCACGAAGCGCATCCATGGGTGCAACGATGAAATCTGCAGGGGGATATGAGGTCGTCTCAGGAATGCGGTACTCTCGTCCATGGCGCCGAAAGTTGGCCCGAATGCGATCACGAACGTCGGCTGGTGTTTCCCAGTTCGTCGCACTTCGCGGCTTGTCTGGGGGGAGATCATGCCGGAGGAATGATTCCTCTGGCTGCAGGAGAATGAAGCAGGAGTCTGTGTGTTGGTTGAATTGGTATCTCGGATGCGCACTGTCATAACAAGGCGCAAAAGTGGTAACGAAGATTGGCTCTCGAGCAAATTGAAAATACCAGCCACGGCCATCCACTCTCCCCTTGAAGCAGTCTGTGCCGGAAGGGTCGCCAGCACTAAGACCCGTCAGAACTTTCCGAACAGTCGTCGCGAAGCTCGCAAGCTCATCGCAGTAATTTCTTCCACGAATCTCAA